CAGAGCTACAGCTTGTGTGCATACTGCATACACCTAAATTTCACCAAAATCCGCAATCAAATTCCATAAACATTGAAGAACCCATTCACACAGTAGAAATTTCAACCTATACACAATAAACCACAGCAACACAGCAAATTTTAACAAAATCCACGACAAAATTCCATTAACACTGAAGATCCCACCAATCTCACCGCAGAAATTTCAACATATACACAGTAAATCACATCAACACAGCAACGACCAAGCATATAATCAGGAACAAAAAACACAAACATACAGATACCCTTCTGGAAAACCGAGATACTCTTTCGCATCAGGAAATCGATAACAAACCCAACGCCTCACAAAAACTTAAGGCAACAATTTACTCACATCGAGATACTCCTTCGCGTCGAGTGGGGAAGCCATCTCGCAGTAGGAGACGAGGCCCGTTATGATTTCCCCATCCAAATCGAGACCCGTCTCGATCTTCTTGCAGAGCTCCATTAAAGCTTTCTCCAACCATTCTCCGGATGATTCAATCCCCATTTTTTTCTTCACCGTCTGTGCCCTTCGTGGTGGACTCCGGTGGCTAGCTACTTTGCTTGAAGCTCATGACTCATGGCAATTTATGGGGCGGGCTTTGGTGCCCCGTGGGTTGAAACCCTTCTGAATATGGGTAGATCTGACCCGACTGATTTAGGGGGAAAATTTATAGAAAAAATAATGGTTTATTTTAAAATAGATTATAATTTTTTAATAATAAAAGTTGGTTAGTGTATAGTTAATCAGCTAGTCAAAACTTTTGAATTCAACCAACAATCTATCATTGTATAAAAAGAATAACATTTTTACAAATTTAGAAACTTTTTCCCGCCAAAATCATTAAATATATTCTACATGTAGTAATTGTTGGACAAATCTGAATAGGCAAAAAATTCGGATCATTAATTGTGTAAAGATTTACTTCTCTTTTTCCTGTTTTTTAGTTTATCAAAACCGTTGTTTGACAATAAATATTTGTTTTTCTTTTTCCTATTTTTAGTATAAATCTACACGAGCTTATCTCTTCTGTTACAAAATCTCATTGCATACGTCTCACTTGTTTAAAACATCTTATCCCTTATCTATATATATTTAAAAAAATAAAATAAAATAGAAACCAATTCATAATTACTACTAGAAATTTATTATCTTTAAAAAAAAAAAATAAAATAAAACAGTAATCCATTCATAATACTACTAGAAGTCTATTATCTACTTTAAGAAGCTAATTTTCATCGGTCTAATTTCTAATATTTTTACAAATATTATAAGCTAACCATACAAAAAAGTATAATAATAATTTTGAAATGGTGTGTAATCTAATCTTTTTTATATTCTCTTATACAAAATAATTTTACATAGTTTGACCCGAATCTTTAATTTATAATTATTAAATATTGTTTATCCTCCTCTTTAATTTATAATTATTATTTTCTTCTTCTTCTATTTAAATAGGATCAATAGTAGTTTTCACTTCCGCCATTGAGCGACTCAAACTCGAGGTCTATTTATAATATTGTTAATTTAATATTGTTCCCATGCATCGCACGGGAAACACTAATTAACTTTGCAAATGGGGTAATACATTTTACTAGTACTCAGTACTCACATACATAAGTAAAGTATTATAAATTATATGTATGTATATAATACTCCACATACGAACTATAAGTTAGATAGTTGTATCACATTTAAAAAATTTAACCATTAATAAAGACTAAACAATATAACTATGTAACCATATACAAATCACTATATTAATTACATAAATGAAAAAACAATTCGCAATTAGATAATATATTATTTATTTCCCTTTATGTTTGGGGTTCGTGTAATAACATCAAGCTAATTTATTCAATTAAAATAAAAGTGTTGCACGAGTCTGCCGTTTTCCATCAATAGAAATATTAAGCACTCATTTGTGTGCCAAAAGTAAACTGAAATAGGGACTTATGGTAGATTATAACAGCAGTTAATAATTAATTAAAGCTCGTAATATAAGTTTGTGACTTATTATTACTGGAATAATAATGGTGGGTTTATAATTGAATAGAAATAACTTGTGTGTACGTTACTAGCGGCACTGTATATAACTATCAAAACAGTAAGGTTTTTAATATATACGGTTATAAAATATTTTATATTTTTGTAATTCAAATTGAAATATCACATTATATAAAACAATATGAACAAAAATAAAAGTATAATATCTCATGATATTAATTTATTATATATTTTTGTTAAAAAATACAACAAATGAACCCGCCTAATATAGTTAGTCCATCTCACGTTATCAAAATGCTATAACCGTTTGCTGAGCTAAAACTAAACTTTGTTGTTTAGTAATCAGTATATCTGCCTCTTGATCTGCAATTACAATTGTGTTGGACTCGAAATATAAATTAATTGTTAAAATTAGTTCTATTATTGCATTATTGGTTACGTCCTCTTTTAAATTGGTTTAACTGTTAAGATGACATATTTTTTTATATTCTTATTAAAAGGAAAGTTATATATGTTTGAAAATATATATACACATAAGTATGAAGATTTATTAGATTATAAGTATGTATATTTATTTAAATTATATGACGATTCTACTCGACTAAGTGTTAAATTCAGTTGAGGTTGGCCTTCATATAGTCTCGAGAAACAAAAACAGCAAAAGAGGAAAATAGGGAAATCATTGTAACTTTATCCTAGTATTATGATTATATTCTGTTCATCATTATATATAATTTTAAAAAATTCTTTGATGATTAATGATTAAGTAGTTATTTCGAAATTCAATCTGTATATAGGGCCTAAACGAAGAAAATAATCATTGTTTTTTACACTTTTTATGCGAAAAAATGTTTTGATAATAAGAAGGCAGCCTCATTAATTGTGTTTTAAGATAAAAAGCTTCCAAAATATTTGCACGCTGCGTATAGAAACAAAAGCTGGGCAGGCAGGTCCCAATCATTATTTGAAGTTT